GAAGCTGGGAAGCCATTGGAATTCTGGCCCCTTGCCCAGGACTCCTTCACAGCCCCACCTGGGTAGGGTTTATCATCCCCAGGAAAGACAGGAACCAGACAGAACAGGGATGGGGAGGAGGTCAGAGCCAGCAGCCAGAGTTCTGCAGGAGGTGATGAGCCCTGAAGGAAGACGGTCCCCTCCTTCAGGGTCCCCTGCTGGCCCTACCCCTCAGGGGTGCTCCTCCCTCTCTCCTCTGTACTCACCGATCCAGGGGCGAAGTCCCTGCCCACGCGATCCAGCAGCTGCTTGGGGCTCTCACCGTACATGCCCACCAGAGTGACGGAGATGTTGTCCAGTGTGCCTGCCCCCAGGTAGGCACCAGTGGTCACACACACGCGGTACACGGCCATGATGGGAGGGAAGGAGGGGTGCCTCCCGACAAGGTGAGCCCCAGCAGCGGCCGGCCTGGAGGTGAGCAGCAGGCCGAGCAGGACTGGACGGCTGTGATGCTGAGCCGCTGGATGGGAGGTTTGGGGGGGTGGGGGGTAGGGGGGAAGGCCTTGGAGGAAAGGCCCAGCTCCCTCCTTCTCTGTCGGGAAGCTCCCGGCCTCTGCCCGGGCCTCTGCTCGCTGCCGGCTCCCTCTCCTCGCCCACACCTGTCTTCTAATAATTGTTTGCTTGCCTCTGGCGCAGCCGGTCTCTCTGGCTGGCAGGACAGGGCTCACCCAGATGGATATCAGGAGCCCCAACCTCATAGGGAAGGGAGGGACCAAATGCTCAGAAAGAGACAGCGAGTAGGTGACGCCTGTATGATTGGGACATGGCCCTCCTCCAGGTCAGGGGCCCTACAGATGCTCTGGGGCCCTTGTCCGCCCGGCCACTCCCAAATTCCCCCTCCCCAAGACCCTTTCCTCATCTCTCAGCCACAACCGGGGACAAAGCACCCACATTCCTACCTGTGAATCATCCACGTGAATCACTGTACAGGAGGAGTGAGACACACTCAGCCAGAAATCACACGAGCCTTCAGCCACACGCAGGTGAGTCTCACGCGCATTCCTGCACCTCGCGTGAGGGTCAGAAACAGCTCTCCTGTCACCCCACACTGCACCGCCGTCCACGCCCGGCCCTCCGTGACCCCTGTCTTTGGCATGCCAGATCTCAATCTCTCCCTTGGAATGGAGCTCGTCAGGGTATCGAAGTGGACTCCCGGCGCACAGTATCTGAAGGTCCCATGTGGCATTCGGGCCCGCCCTCGACCTTCGGGCGGGTGGGCGGGAGCGGGGGTGCCCGAGTGCCTAAGATTTAGGTCATTCATACCCCGGAGAAACCTCCCGGCGAGGAAAGCCCGCAGCCGGCAGCGGCCCCGCGCGGCCAGTCCCGGCACCGCGCTATCCCAGCCCCCGGGCCTCCAGCCCTAGCTACCGAACGGCGGAAACTACTCGAGGGAGGCCGGTAAGAAGCGCGATCCGCAGTTGCCCGGTGCTCCAGCTTCCTTAGGGTCTGTGCCGGCATCCTCGGAGCACTTGCATACAATTCCCCGTCGGTTTTGCGAGCGTGAAATTTTACAGGTCTAATACTCTTAAAGATGCCAGAGCAGGAAAAGCTTCAGAGCCCGGATAGCTCAGTCGGTAGAGCATCAGACTTTTAATCTGAGGGTCCAGGGTTCAAGTCCCTGTTCGGGCGCTCAATTTTTCCTAACTAAACACTCATTTCTATGTACAATTAATATTTGTATGCCTTCAAACAAAACAAAGGAAAAGAATAACAAAAATTCTCTTAATTAGTTTTAAAAGGAAGTGGTATTTAAAAGGAAGTGGTAAAACGCCAAGTTTTTAGTTTTCAGAAGATAGAACGAATAATGGGAAGGAAAGTAGAGATGCTTTAGAGTAGTACATATACGAGTCATATATGCTAACTTAAATTTTCTAGGAGCCACATTAAAAAGAATAAAAAGTTTAATCAAGATGTGTATACATTAAGTGTGTGAAGTTTTTGTATATCAATTATCAATTATACTTCAATAAAACTAAAAATGGAATAATAATCATAGAAAAATAAACTAGGGGGGTAACAGGAGTACATGGGAGATCTCTGTACTTTCTGTTCAATTTTTCTGTAAACCTAAAACTGCTCTAATAAATAAAATCTGTCATTTTCTTTAAAAGAGTAAAAAGCAACAGTTGAAATTAATTTTAATAACATATTTTATTTAACCCCAAGTATCCAAAATCTGAGCATTTTAACATATAATCAATATTTTAATGTTAATGAAATTATAATTTTTTCTGTACTAAGTCTTCTATGTACGGTTTCCATTTTACATTTACAGTACATTTCAATTCATATTTTAGATGCTTGATAACGGCGTCTACCTTATCCAACAATTGTTTTTGTGTTGTTTTGTCCTCTGTAAATAGTAGAGTGCAGGGCAATAAGAACAGAGTTTACAATTACATAAATATTCAGAAGTCGTTTTCACCAGTTGGTTCCATGGTGTAATGGTTAGCACTCTGGACTCTGAATCCAGCGATCCGAGTTCAAATCTCGGTGGAACCTAAAGTTTTGTTTTTCACAATTGTCAATATGTTCCATTATGTATTGGTTTTATATATAAGGTTCTTTTATGAAGAGTATTTAAAAAGAAAAACTACAATTCTGTTCTTTGAGCTTTCACACTAGGCAATTGAAGCCCCTAGCACACTCTGAGGAAAACACAGTCAATCACTTGAATATGTATATGAACACGTGTTGCGCTAATTTTGAGAGATAAGAATGTTATTTGAGAACATGTTAATGGGGAGATCGGTTACTAAGAAAAGGTTACTTCGGCAGTTTCCATCAGGTCTTGGTTTGGGGCTGGGATGCAGATCTAGGTAGGATATGTCTTGAATACCAGAGAGGGATGACAGTGGTGAGACCTCTATCAGGAGTCCTCATAAAATTGAGGAAGATACCACAAGGTCCTGCATGAATTGTTACAGGATGCATGAACCACGAGGGGGGCGAAAAAAACTCTAGTTTGGCAGCGGTGGGATTCGAACCCACGCCTCCGGAGAGACTGGAGCCTAAATCCAGCGCCTTAGACCGCTCGGCCACGCTACCTGCGTGAAGTAAAGGTTCCTCCACACTCCTCCTAAGAGACTATAGAAAAGTAAGCTAGAAATGGTTGTATTAAATTGGCTGGTCTTCTTTGGAAACCATCTAGATTTAGAACTGCAGAGCAGCGGATAGCAAAGCAGATAGGCCAAAGGAAACAAAGACACACAGAAATTTACAACGAAATAAGTTTATTTTGATGAGTGGGGCCACATCTGGGAGTGGGGTGCGCCTGGGCTGGAAGCATCATCCTCCAAGCAGGCAGCTGGAGCTCTGTGCTCGTCCCCTCACTCATGTTGCTCTCTCTCCCTGTTTCCTCCACCCGTGTGCTCCCGCACTCCCACCTGGCTCACCTGCTTTGCGCCCGCTACCTCTCCCTGGTAGGCCTCAGGTCCTAACCGCGAGCTCTTGGTACGCCCCTCCCTCTCCCCCTCCCCCATCCAGCTCCCGTATGCCGTCAGACGCCACCGCTGGTTAGCGGGCTCTGTGGCGCAATGGATAGCGCATTGGACTTCTAGTGACGAAAGAGCGATTCAAAGGTTGTGGGTTCGAATCCCACCAGAGTCGGTTTTATTCCAACTTTTATTTTCTTTCCTTTTTTTTTTTTTTTCTCCTAAAGGTCCCGTTCCTCTCCCCATATCCTAACTCTGTTTTCCATCTGTTTTCAGTTCCAGCCTCAGTCTCTGCTCTGCTCTCTTCTTTACTTACCTGTCTGCCCTGGGACTTGGGCCTCGGAGAGCAGGACTGGGGGGACGGGAGACAGAAGGGGAGGGAAAGTAGGCGTGGACGCCGAGATAAAGGCAGGCCCCTGGCTTTGGGACACACGGGGATTTAATAACCACTTTATTCCATGCACTAGGGACTCGAGAAGGGATTGGGGCTGGGCTGGGACAGAGAGGGTACAATCCTAGACGCAAGGGGGGCAGGGGAAAGGGACAGGAACCAGGAAAATATATATTTATATAGATACTCTAATATAGACCACATCTCACCCGCGCGCTGCGCCCGCGCGCCCCGCCGCCCTCCCCAACACC